GCTGCGAAATATGGTAGAAGATATCAGAAGACCATTTTTTTTTCTTTAAAAGTTTTCACCATTACTGGTTAAATTTTTTACAATTTAAATTTTTATAAATAAGGAATAAAGTGTGGTTGCTTCGATTGATTAATTTATAAACTCGATTTCCATCCTTTGGTAATACAAATACAACTGTTATTAAAATCATGACGGATAACATTACTAGTTAAACTCGCTCCGCTGGCTTGTCACACTGGACAAATATGCCAGGGAATCCCTTCGTGATAGAAGCAGAGATGAATCGTCAGCATCATCCGGATTTTTTAACAGATTTACTCCTGTGCGAATAGAACCTTAGTATCGACGCTCCGAATTGAACAACAACCCACTAAGCCACACTATCTCCATCAGAAAGCTATAGGGCTATTTGTCTCTTTGATCATCATTTGGCTAAGGAATCATTATATATCTTATGTTCTCACCATATGAACAGAATGTCACATGGTCACATCCACCTTCGTCCGAATACTACTATTTGTATTAAGAATATAAGCATAAAGTATCGTTGGACCATGTTCATACTTGATATGGAGATGTGGTCCAAAATAGGAACTATCTCGCTATTTGTTTAATCCTGTGATCGATATCACATCATATCGATATCATCAAAGGCGAGGAGGATCAACTGGAACCCCCAAATGGATATGTTCAAGGGAGATTTCAAAGAGACATCTGCAGCCCAAATATGTAGGATATTCAGAAAAAGAATTAATTTGCGAATTTAATCAATCGATAATGTAATCGGTTTATTTATGGCATAGCATCGGATCGGAAGGCTTGGGAACATCTTATCCTAATGGCGCGAGCCAATAAAAAATAATCATATTTGAAAATTGCCGTCAGCACTTATAACTATGTGATCCAGAGCATACTAATTTAATGAAGAGTTTAATGATGAGTGAGCAACACGGATAAAAGAAAAGATACATAAATCATCAAGGAAAATTATAAACTTGTAGAAAAAGTGAGGAGGATGGTAAGTTATTGATAATTAGATAATATCTCAGTGTGGGGATTGGATGGCTCATTGAGTTGCCGCTCAATTGATAGCGCCGATGCGCAAGTTCGATTACCACAGGAGTAAACCTCTATAAAGATCAGGGTTATGCTGGCGATTCAATTGTATATCGCCAAGGGACTCCTTGGCATATTGCTTAATGTGAGAAGCCAGTGGAACGAGTTTAATTTATAATGGCGAGGACACCTTTTTAAAAAAAGGTAATATAGCAATGGGAGAAAATAATTTCATTGCAAATTTAGCTCGATGTGGGAAGAGGTGAAATAAGAAATGTGACGTATTAGTGAGAACGGTCCGGAGGATACTGGTAGATATATGAAAGAAAGGAAGATGTATGAAGAGAATAAGACATCTCTACTTTGGTTGACTGTTAAAATAAGGGCGCGAGCCAATAAAAAATAATCATATTTGAAAATTGCCGTCAGCACTTATAACTATGTGATCCAGAGCATACTAATTTAATGAAGAGTTTAATGATGAGTGAGCAACACGGATAAAAGAAAAGATACATAAATCATCAAGGAAAATTATAAACTTGTAGAAAAAGTGAGGAGGATGGTAAGTTATTGATAATTAGATAATATCTCAGTGCGGGGATTGGATGGCTCATTGAGTTGCCGCTCAATTGATAGCGCCGATGCGCAAGTTCGATTACCACAGGAGTAAACCTCTATAAAGATCAGGGTTATGCTGGCGATTCAATTGTATATCGCCAAGGGACTCCTTGGCATATTGCTTAATGTGAGAAGCCAGTGGAACGAGTTTAATTTATAATGGCGAGGACACCTTTTTAAAAAAAGGTAATATATCAATGGGAGAAAATAATTTCATTGCAAATTTAGCTCGATGTGGGAAGAGGTGAAATAAGAAATGTGACGTATTAGTGAGAACGGTCCGGAGGATACTGGTAGATATATGAAAGAAAGGAAGATGTATGAAGAGAATAAGACATCTCTACTTTGGTTGATTGTTAAAATAAGTCCTTTGAAATATAATTGGAAAATGTATCATTCGAATAGAAAATCAGGTTTCCAGCACCGTTCAGGATCACTTTCAGTGGCATGTTCACTTTCACCGAGGAGCATCGAACCTATACTGGCTTTAATAAAAGATCATTTGGACTGAACAATATCTACTGATTTATAACAAATATTCTTTAGATTGATGTCACTGAATAGTATCATTTCACTAAGACCAAACAGAAATGAAATCATAATAAAGACCATTAGCAGATTTAAAATCAGGAGCTGAATTCACCAACAAATAAACAAGCCGATTACGGCAATAAACACAGCATACTGGAGAAACAAAAGGACTCAGGCGTTTAGGCTTATTGTGTTGTCAATGAATTCGATGAGAACATATACATAGCTCATATTTAAACAACTATTGAAGGAATTGTTAATATAGTTTCATCATTTTGTTGATTTGCTATGTAATATTGTCGTATGTGAGTATTGTTTACGATTAATGGGCAAATAATACCGTGCATTTATGGCTTTGAAAGTTCCATTTTATACCATTTTTCGTATGGTGAATATTGGTGATGATAAAAAATGATAAGTGATAATTAGAAGTGGCAAATACTATGAGTGGCTATTTTCCTTTTTTTCTATAGATTTTTTCATAAAACATTTGCGATGAAGGCTTATTATTGGATATAATGGGGAGAGGAAGAGGAGAGGAGTGAGGAGATGGTCGAATGTTGTATTCTTTCGATTAAGATTAAGCATCGTGGGTTCTATTCCTGTCACTTTCGGAAATTTCACTAAGATTGAAATTTGAGTGACTATGCCGATTCTAAATGAAGTCATTGAAGGTGATTAAACCAGAATTGATGAGAATTATTAGATGAATTGGACAGTTTGATGATCTTGTAGGACAATGCAGAGTTCTGGCATTTTCTGTCAATTTTTCAAACTATTCAAAGTGTTGCTTTTGCTCATTTTATTTCTAGGATTTTAACCTGAAACAGTGAATACATAATAAACGACGAATTGATAAAATTCATAAAATGTTTTTTGTGATTAAAATTGACTAATATCAATATTTTTTTCATAATTTCGAAAACTGGTTTTCTTTTCCTCTTTTCATTTATTTCACGTTCGTGATTTTAAAATCTTTTGAGTCAAAAATTAATTAAATTTGTGGTCATACGGGGAAATAGGATAAGACTGTTCAATTTTCAAGATCAATTTTTTTAAAGATCTCACTCAGATTTTCATTTAGTTCTCACCTATCAAATGATTGCTAGAAAAACTTCCTGATTGTTGCTATAAAATTTTTCATAGATTTTAGCTGAAGAAATTTTTTCAAAGAATGCATCTACCTAATGAACTTTTTGATAACTGAATAATGGGAGTAAATTAGATATGTTTGATGTAATGTGAGACGGATGTTTTAACTCTTCGTGATCGCTTTGATTCATTACAATAAAAATCTGTCATTTTAGTTTATCTTTTTTACTTTTATGATTCTGGTAAAAGCATGCATCGTAAATGAATAGATTTATTTATTAAGAAGACATTCGATATTTCGGAAATTATTATTTATAAAATTTTTAGAGAAAAACAATTTATTCACAACAATTTAAACTAACTTCTTGCCATTCATTTTTTTAGTAATTTCTTCCATTCATCTTCATATTCAATTTTCTCTCTTTATATTTCTGGATGGTTAACTAACAATATTTACAGACTAATATATATATATATATATATATATATTATATATTATATATTATATATATATATATATATTGAAGAATATAACTTCCAACTGCCTTTGAATTGTTTTCTTGGTCATTTTTTAAGAATTACGTTTTTGTATAATTTGGACCCTTATGAAATATAAAACTTTAAGTTTTATCCAAGCGTACGTTCGAAAAAAAGGTTTCTGCGATTTTTTTATTTCAAAAGTACATCAGAAAATATTCTCCGAAGATCGTTCAAATTTGTGAATTGGTTAATTTTAAAAAAGCATTTTTTAAAATGTTTCGTAGAATTTCGTAGAACTGTGGAATTGATTATTTAATAGTTGCATTTGGTGAATTCTCGATGACTTTTAATAATGAAGCGGCAGAAAAGTACCTCCAAATAAATAGCGAGTAAAACATTGAAATAACAAGAAAATTCAACAATTAACAAGTCAGCTAATTAACTATAAAATTTCATCATTCTTGTCTTTCCTTGTATTCTGTTCTTTATTTTAAATTTCTTCCATAAATTTAGTCTTGAATTTGAGAGGATCTTTTGTGATGAAAAAATTTCTCAAAAAAGATTCTCAAAATATGGACGATTTTTATGCTACCAGATTTCTAGAGCGTTTGAAATCGAACAGTAAATTTTGAATTGAATATTGCTAATTTTCATTTCGATAAGTTCAAGTTCACTGATAGTAGATCAACCATTTAAGACGATAGTTATTCATAAAATTTTGCCTAATTACTATTCAGATATAGATAGTGACCACTGAAAAAGCCGGAAGAACAACAAATAAAACTCTTAATTATTATTAATGCGTATGAAAATATGGTTAAAGTAAGTGATAAGTCAATAGGCGATGAGGACAAATTTGAGACGAATTATGAACAAAGCAATTTCGATAAAATAATTAGCACATTACTATGCAGGTATTTTAATGATATTTACGATTATTTTTTTCATGAAGAAAATAAAAATAACGTAAAACTAAAATAATGGAGACTTTTGAGTAAATTTCTTAAGATTTCACAAGAAATTTTTTTATATCTATCGAATTTTCTATAAAATTTTGCACTGTTTCTTTTTTTTTTTTTTTTAAAGAATCGTTTAAAGATTTCCATAGAATAATCGGAGAAAACAAAGTTTTTGAGATATTCTCCTATAAAGGCGGCACGACAGCCGAGTGGATAATCGTTGAGATTAAGAGGCAAAAATTTGGCCTCTGCTCTGCCAGAAGTAAACCTATTATTAAAAAGTCCCAATTGCAGGCGACCCATACTTCTATTTCTAATCACCAAGAATTATTTCGCAACAAATGACTAGTAACTAGCGAGTTCACCTAACTTGATTAGTATTTACTTAAATCAAAATCAAGATAAAATCAATTAAGCCATTATATAAAGGTCATAAATATGAATATTTTTTCAGAAGTGATAAAGCAAAAGAAAAATTAGAAGCAAAACCAGTGTCATTTTTTAGATTGGTATGCCTTTTCTTCTTCGTTATGTGCTAAGTTTTTATATTTTTTTAGATCACCATGCATATTAAATTGTTTGTCGTGAATATCCATTGTAAATTGTTACAAATGTCTCTTGTGATTCTTAATTATTGCCAAATGAAACGAAAAACTTTTAAAATTTATAAAGTTAGTAATTTTTAGTTCCGATATGCATCATTTTCCGATAAATTGTTGGTTGGCCTTGCAATATTCTTAGCGATTCTTTCTGGAATTGGACAACCGATGGTTGTCGTTATTGCTGGTCTTTTTACTAATGTTCTTCTGCTTACGGACCAAGTTTGCCTTTTAATAATTATACATTTATAAGAGAAATGGCATATATTTAAGAGAATTATAGTAAAATATTAAATATTATCAAAAGTGATAGCCGAAAGCTAATAGTTTTTGCTAAATAATAAGGAAAAAAAGGTCGGTAAGACATGTCTTTTCAGTTTATTGGAAATGATGAATTTTGGTATGATGCTTTTGTGTACGTTTATGTTTATGCAGCTGTTGGTATTGCAATGGCTATTATAACAATTGTTCAGGTTGTTATTTTACTCGGTGCATTTAAACCAATTTAGGAAAGAACAAGACTGTATATAAACTTATAAATATATGAGCAAGATCGAACAAATACTGCGATGATGATTAATCATAATCATTATCATGATTAATCATAATCATTAACGCAGAATCATTAAAAATTTGGCCTCTGAGGTCCATATTATTGGCAATTATTAGTAATTTGTTATGAGGAAGAAACGAATCTAAATAGCACATATATCAAACTATAATGAGAAGCATTTCTATCTGGTAAATATTTATCATTTTTAATTTATTTTTTTCTTTTATTTACTTTTTTTTAGTATATTTGTTTCAAAAACGTTTCATTGAATGTAGCAAGAAATATAAGGAGCATCTACATGAAATCACTGCTCCATCAAAATGCTGAATGGTATGATCGTAGAAAAGCTGGAATGATTACTTCACAACTTAACGAGTAAGTTGTAACCAGTAAGCTAAAAGGCAATACCATCCAAGATATTAAAATTTTATTGAATAAAGTGCGAACTTAGTCATGGAAGATTTTGTAAAAAACATAATTTTTTAACCAATTCTAATTTTAAGAAATATTGATAAAATAAAAGATGGCATAGGAGACAAAGTCGGTTTGATTCTTCGTGGCCTCGTCATGTTCATCACGTCACTGGTTGTTGGTTTCATATATGAGTGGAGAATAACGCTGATCACGATTGCGATGGGCCCACTGTCTGCAGCACTTATGTCATTGATGGCGAGGGTAATAATTAAGTCTCTAAACAAGTCAAGAAAAGTCTGCATTGGCTTTTTTTTCAAAAATTTTGCATGAAATCGGGATTTAAATGCAAAAAAAGTTTAGATTGTAGATCGCATAACATTTAAACAGATGGATGCCAATGGAAGGTCGACATCAATTGTCGAGGAATGTATAATGAATGTTCGAACAGTTGCTGCATGTAATGGCCAACAAATGATGTTGGATAAATATTCGGCATCGTTAGACGTAGCACGAAGATTCACACTTCGAATATGCTCATATTTAGGATTTTTCGATGGAATCTTTTTTTTAATCATGTACTTATTCCTCGCTCTAGGATTTTTGTAAGTTTATGCAAATTTAAAATTTTATTAAATATAAATTAAATATTATTAAATATAAATATTCATTTTAACCGCCAAAAATTTTATTTTAATTGTAATACACCAAAAAATAAATGCAAAGAAATTTAAAAAACAGCAAAGAGACGTTATACATTTAAGAAATACATTTTAAATAAGGAAAATGATTTCAGTTAATTCTAAACCTGTGGAGCACCTTTTTCTTCTACATTACTGGTTAGGCTGGCTCTACTGGCTACAAAGGTAAGACATTTCAAGCTGCGCGACCTGATGCCATCGTCAATAGAAACCATTCCCTTTTCCATCATCTAAATCTATATATTCAGCCGGTCCACCTATACGTTCAATCTTTCCTGATCCTACCAGTCCAGATCTTGATTGGCTCACCTCACTCTTTACAAAGTTTTCATCTATCACAAGATTTAGCAAATAACGAAATATGCGTCAACTCCTGTGGGTAGAAGACGAAGAACGCGTCTTAACCAGCGAAGACGACGCTCTAATATGTGATAACATTATTGGTTAAATCTAATTTCGATATGGCAACTTTTCCCTTCATTTTTAAAATTTTAACGCCAATTTTAAATGATAAAAATCAAATTTTATTTATTTAATTGAAAATTTCTAGTAAAATATTAAACATATCAATTTAATCATTATTCTTAAACGTAAATTCATTGATATACAAGACGATTTCTTTCCGATTAGTACCTTTTTTTCTTAGAAATTTTTTTTAAGGTAGTATTATTATTTTATTATTATTATTATTTTATTAGTATATTTTCAAAGTCTCATAGAATCCATGGTTCATCGAAAATTCAAGTACTTTGTCACTAGTGTTAAGATCATTCAGGAGAGATAACAAAGAAAAATATTGCATATCATTTTATTGCATATCATTACATAATATCATTTTTAAGTATGGATGAAAAAAAATTTAGTTAATAGGGAATTTAATAGGGAAAAAGGGAACAAAAAATATTTATGGGAAAATATTTTGGAGGGGGAATTTAGCGGTAAAAATGACACAATTTGCCGTTTACGAAATTAGATTTAACCGATTTCAAAATTATCAATTATTTTATTATTTTATGGTGAATTTTATTGATTTTAATTCGAAGTTTTTTGATTTGCAAGGTGCAATTTGCAAACTTCCATTGATAAGATTATGTCGTCTCTTTATAGGATTAGGTTAGCTGCTATAGTAGGATTACTATGGAATACCCATTCAAAAAGTTTTAGTATTACGATTACCACAGCTCTGTTGATAGATTTCATTAAGTCTTTGCCAAAAGTCTTCTTGGAGAGTACCATAGAGATACTGAAATTTGGTATTTTCAGGATCAGTAGTTTTTCTTTTGTCTTTTCCATCATGAATAAGATCTCTTTGTAGGTTGAAATTACTCGGTTTGTAATTCAGTCGATGCTTGTTGTTTCATTGATTATAATATTATTATCCATTGATTTAGGATAAAATTGCAGTTAACAGTGTCTCGAATTAATTGTTTTTAAAGGTAAATGACATTGACATTTGCAGTTCATCAGTGACGACGTGATCATCATATACCCTTGCCTAGTACTTTCCAATTTTTCGATATAAGCACTCACTTATAGCTTCTGTTTTATTCCATAAAACAATACTCTATTTTCCGCTTCGTATGAGGCAACGTTGGATAGTGTCGAGATCCGACACTGTTTCTGTTCCGTCATAGATGAATATTTCTCCTTTTTGCCATAGAAAATTTGTCGTTGATTGACATCGAACGCATAGCCACCCATAAGAGTACTGCACATTATTTACAGTTATCTATTGAATTGGAGATATTTGCGATACGAATGATATTGCTGCATTTGAGCGCTGGTATCCTTACATGAGTTTTGGTACATACAGCTATTTCGTTTAGCGTGAAATTCGCAGTGAATTGATCATTACAGTTCTATTTCTGTAGGAGGCTAAAGCTAAACGGAATACCAGTTACTTGCATTTTTCAGTCGAGACAATAGGTAGGATTAGTGAAAAAATAATGGTTATTAGTAGTAAGTTTTTTATTACTGAATTTGGTTAAATAAGCTCTCCTCTTCTTTGTGCTCCTCTAGTTCGGACAGCAATTGGTTCCTCTCGTTTTTTCTTTTTTGTTGTTGTTTGGACTCCTTTTCATTTATTTCCAGTGGATAAAATAAGTTGATAGGTCGATTGAAGAGTTTTCTGTTAGGGTTCGTACCATTACACTTTTCACCTTTCCATTTGTTCTGATATTGAATTATTGAATCTTTACTACCACATATCCCTCGGTAGTCCAGGCTCATTTAAAAAGGCTATTTAACCAGGACGTGGAATTCGATCCTCTATTCTTTTGGGAGATCCTATTTCTATTGTATATTAAGACTATTCGTTATATTCGTTCTCTAAGACTATACGTTATATTCGTTCTGAGATATTCCAGTTTCTCCAGAATACATCCAATGTTTTGAGAATGTTCGGACCAATATTTGTCTAATTTATCTTTAGTATTCCATGGGTTGGGAGTGAATTTATCTTCCTTCATACTACCTTCATCTGTTGGTATCGCTAATAGAACGTTGGGTGAAATCAATAGGTCTCATGATTTTGTAATCATCAAAATTTAAGTAAGTTAATGGACGGATATTAAATATTCCTTCAATTTCCATTGTTAATGTTGTTAATTTCCCACAAAAGTTTCCTACCTATTGCTCTTCTGAGAGCTCCCTTTGTTCATCCAATCATTTTTTCATGAACACCTCCGCTCCATTGCTTTCGGTATAATGTTTTTCTATATCATCTCCTTTGAAGCTAGGAAATTTCTACTTTCCTCCATAATAATTTTGAAAACCAATTGAAATTGAAATTGTAGCTAAAACAAGCATAGGCATATCCGCGTCGCATTACAAATATGCGAAACATATGCATGAATATTTCTGCTGAAAGTTTGTGTTGTAAAACAGATGAAGAGCGCTATGCACCGTTTTTCTATCCATTGTCAATTTTGATTGAAAGTGGTCCCAAATAATTAAGACCAATCTGTTTCAATTTCAAATTCAAAAATCCAAACTTCAAAGATCCTTGACACGGGATTCTGGTAAATTTGTAGCGGTAGTCTGAATGGTTTGGCTCTCCATCGTTTGCAAGCCATGCTTCCCTTTATAATTCGCTTTACTGCAAATCCACTTGGTACCCAAAATCATTGCCTTAATTCATATAATATGTGTCCAACTTCTGTACTTCTACTTAATAAGTTCAGTAATATGGTTGTGATTTGGTAAGTAAATAGGAAATTTACTTTCCATGTTCAATTCTGCATTTTCTAGATGACTTCTTGTTTGCCATAAATTCATCCTCTTCATCGAGATATAGATTTCATATGTTTACTTGTTATTCATCGTGCTTGTTTTATTAATATCCACTCTG